TTCGAAATTGTATTCTAATCTATTTAATTCGTTTAACAATATATTATTTCACTTATATAATAATATAATAATATGTATTGTTATTATAAGTTTAATACAATTTGAACTATTAATACTACTATAATATTTTATAGTATACCTATTACCTACATAAATCGATAACATAATTTAAAATTTCCTATAGGTTAATATTTTAACCAAACAAAAACGACAAAATACATTTTGTATTGTAAAATATTTACGGTTACAATGTCAACTGTAAACTCTTTGCTCATCAAATAATGTTTTGACATATGTCACATGACAAGAGTCAAAGGCAGTGCCAACTCTTCTGAGTATATATGAAAGATCCTCGACCAAGTGTATTCTAATTTGACCGACTCAGTGGATCGATAAGCTTGGCTACAAATGTGGGCTCTCTGTAGGGCGGTGGGGAAGTTCTTTTTTCAGTCTGTTTTTCACAGTTTTTATTTTCCCAAAAGAAATGTTTCAATTACTGCGAACCATTAGTTACCTGACATCTTACTGGCTTGTGCATAATTTATAAGCATATTATATTATTACAATTTTCGAATTTAATATAATTATTATATAATGTTATGGGTGATCGGATAGGTAGGTACTAAATATGAACTAGGTACCTCATACAGTAGTCGCCGCTTGTTGGACTCACTTTTTAGGGAACAGAGTACCATGAATCCATTAAACGAATGAATTTATAAGTTCGAACTCAGTTATATATACACACATATTATAATTTAATAACTATTAATCACAAATATAAATATTTTTTTGATTATATATAAATCATTTATAATTAGAGAGAATCGAACCAGTGTAGGCCGCCAGTTGTGTGTGTCCCCTCCCATAAGACGTTTATAAATACTCCACCGAGTGTCACACATAGTTGTGGAACAATTTAACCACCAAACATCCATTTTTCAGATTATCACGACGTTCAAATTGGCTACGGCATGAATTATAAAAGATAAAATAGTATCATTTAAGACAATAAAATGATATCATGATGTATAACATTAGACATACTTATACATTGCAGTTGGGTACATAAGAACAAAATGCGTAAATATTTCATCATCGGTGTATACGATAACCAACGATAATGCACGCGATAAACTTAATATTTATAAAATTCCATAGTGTTATAATATACTAAAATTATCATAAAGTGTTGAGTTATAATTTTACAAAGGATTTCCTCGGATTTTCCAATCTCACTCAATAATTACCTACCCATATTATAATATGTAAGTACAATAAATTCTAATTTTTAAATAACGGCTACAGGACCGAGTATGAGCCATCAATAGATACGAAGAACCTGTGAATAATATAAGTGACTAGTTGTGCATTATGTAGCGATATATAGAAGCTTGAATAATCTTCTAGAAGGTGAAGGCATGGTCGTATCGTATGACTGGTGGGGATCAACACTGGTTTCTCCACTTCTGCTCAATACTGTTTATAGATACAGGGTGTCTCATTAAAACGCTGGATTTAATTTTGTCACTGTTTTACAGGAAAAGTGGTTGTGAACAAAAAAAATCGTATGAACATGTAGCATATTATAAATTATAATCTAAATTAACTTATCCTGACTGGCCGACTAATTAACGTAGAGCCTAAACTATGATAGGTAGTTATAAAAACTTGACATTGTCATGGTACTTTCATTCCACCATGTAAGGGTGCACTAAGACGAGATTTTCCAATATTTGCATTTTAAAAAAGTGCTCAAACATTGAGGATTTTGAGATTCACATTGGTTATTCGGACGGATAAGATAAAATCATGCATTAAACGGTCTCGTTTATGACCTCGATTTAACTAATTATATCTTAAGGCAAATTGAGAGTTTATTTATAAAATGATTATTCTACATAATATGTTAGTTGCATATAGACTAAAAAATTGATGAGTTTTGACATCTCTTGCTCGATCGGAAAAATGTCCAACGATATATACATAAGATCACATGCGAGTCCTGCGAGGAGATCAGAGGCGTATAGTTTCAAAACCAGCCCAAAGCACATTTTCTGAAAATTATTTTTTCCATATTTTCTAAATGGTAACTGTCACACCATATTATAAATCCTGTAAAAATATTAAACACCAAATAAGGTTATACCTGGTCTAATCTGATCATGGAAAATGTATTGTGCTTCGTTTCACTTCTGGTCACAATAAATTCGTGAATAAATTCGACGCCGTCACATTTCTCTAGGAATAACGCGTCGTGATTGTCACACGGGTATAGTGGTGCGGACCATCGTGCAGACGAAACTCAAACCACTGTGTCAATATAATATATTGTTGAGCTGACCACACTAGGATAAGAAACTCGGGCAATTTGAATCCGTTGTTGAATCCATGTTTGTAACACTCTGTATACACGCATAGCTTATGCACGATGACGCGAAAGCAGTTGGTTGTTTATCACCAGATTCACGGTCTGAATTTCGTCGCACTGCGCAAATATAATATTATATGCACACGAGGGAAAAAACCACGAAAACGAAATCGAATGGCCACGACCGCGGATGCGTAAAACTAAATATCTAAGTATACCGCGGTAAACTACTGAGCGATCGACAGCACCTTCGACCGTTTTCGGACCGCTCAGCCGCTCAAGTAGCAAACCTCACCGGATTTTCGATACGTGTTTGCATATCAACTTTCCAAACAGGTCCATCCACGAATGTATTCAATGAATCTCCTTAAAGCGAGGTTCTATAAAGTCACAGTTCTGCTCTGAACGCTGACAATCACGGTAAGCTCGGTGTACAGCTGGTGGTCTCCTTGACGCCCACGCCGTCCGCCACATAATATTGATATATTGTAGGTACGACTCTAGAGGTGATCTTTTCTAACTAATTGTCATCGTTCTCGGAATTCCGCATTACAACAGCAGAGGATCGTCACCGTTTGTTTTATCCGCACCAGTCTCGCCGACTCGAAACCGATTCTCGACGCGACTTTCAATCGTACGTAGAGAGCTGTCACGTATCCATCCACGAGTGCTTTTCTGTAGTTCTGTACAGTGAGATGAATTTTTCTGAGAAACATACCATCCTAATTGAACAAGCCTCCACACTACAATAACTTCCGACCCGATGGACCTCACCGCTCGCTTCTCAACAATTGCACGCCGGAAAAGTAATAGCAAAGGTACATAGAATGCTCATCAGTCAGCAATTATTACTCACTTTGTGTTCACCCTGTCGATATAACCACCATGTTCCATACAATTAGGATGGTGTTGGTGAAAAAAGGGCTCAAGTCAGTATATTATTTTTTTTGTTTTGTAGATAATTTTACTGTGGATCTACGGTTGACACTGATGTTTCGCTATATCATTCTTAATAATATTATCTCGCAGTGATGCGCAGTCTGTCTTTACGAAATAATACAATAATCTACTTAATACCTATTACCTATATATATATAGGTACTTTTATCTACTATCCCGCAAAACTATACAAATTGAGTAAACGAGTAAATAAAAAGCGCCCTCTATAATGTAGTTACGCTTTCCATACACTCATTGCTTGTGTAGTAGTATAAAGTATTAGGGGCTGATCCAGAAATTTATCAGGGGAAGGATTTACCCTATTACCCCTCTCCTTGGATGCGCCACTGTAAAGTATATGATTGAGATGGGCAAATTTCAGTGCCACCAATCGATCCGTCGTGAAATTGTCTACGAAACAAAAATGTTTAATATACAATTTTTGAAAACTGACTTGAGCCTTTTCTCACAAACACCGTTTTATATACAATTCGAGCAGTATGTGATTATTCGGTCATTAAGAATTGATCTATATTCAAGGGTAATTTATTTGTGTTTATTGTACAGGTTTGGAGGAACGACCAATTAAAACCTTTATAAAATATCCACGTGACATATAAACGAAGTATCAACATGCATTGTCGTAGCTTCGTATTACTCATATAGCTAACCCTTAGAAAAAAAACTACTAGTATTTAATAGTTAACTAACTAACTAAATATATTATCTACCTATACCTACGTCATACAACTAAAGAGCGCAAGTCCTATAAGATTATTAGTCTATCAGTAATTAAATGACAGTCCGTGTTTTACACAACACTACACACACATTTACACTACATATTACATACGTAATAATATACCGAAATATTATGATATTTTTATACATGATTTTATTTTTAAAAATGTATTGTTATTAAATGTATAATATGATCAATATTATATCAAAATGTAATATTATCTTGATTTTAGGAATTACATTTTTCATTTAGGTTGTGCATTTATGTAATTTACTATATTATGCAGGGTGCAGGGATTACAAAATATTAATATATTGACATAATGTTGATATCTATTGTATATTTTGAAGGTAAAAATTATTTATCAGCGTTGTAAATATATTTTATGGACGTGGGTATTTTCTTTTCTTTTTGGCTTAGAAGCAATATAACATGCTTAAAAATGTTGATTTCTGATCCTTATTTCAGTAATAGTAGCAACAATAAGTCAAGACGGCCGTGATTATAAACAACTTAATAACAAAATACATATTATAATAGAATCGGAATTATTTTATCATTATATACTTGTACATATACCAGGTATATATATTATACCTACTATGTACATTGATAATGTGTAAAGTAAAATTATAGCAAACATATTATTTATCATTCATTGAATTTCACTGACACAATAAGCACAATAAGTTATATTAAAAACTATTTTACCTATGAAAATATTTCAAATTCTCTAAGTCATTGAATCTTGGGATTTTTGTAGAGTTGTGTTTTTTTTTTTTTTTAGTTATTTCCAGTTGTCGTTAAAGTGTTATTAACGTTTTATTTAAATAAAGCGGAAAACAAAATAAACAAACGTTTTAATTGAAGATATACTCATTAACATTTACGTTCATCTTTTTTTCATTAGTAGCAAGCTTTTATAATACAACAACTTTGTACACTCACCGTAGCATTTCTCTATATGTATCCTCTACATACAGTGTTTATCTGAAAAAAAAACATAATATATAAAGTTTAAGCAATTATAATATTTTATTACAATATATTTGAACACGATCATTAATCTATGCCCTGCGACATTAGTGTAATACTGTAATAAGTAATGAAGAATAAAATACAGAGCCAATTCGTAAGATAATAATATGATAATATAATTCTTCTCGTAATTGTTAGAATAACATTAACAATTATAAGTTCAAATTAAAATAACTAATCGCGTGCATTTACAACATAATGTGTATATATATAACCATAACAGATATAGGCAAAAAGATGGAAATATTTTAGGATCGAAATTTAAATTACAAAATTGTATGTTCTTAAAACAATGATTCAGACTAAGCATTTGGTCAGATCAATTGTTTTAAAGAATTTTTACGTATACGTAAATAGGTAATACTTGGGTTAAAATTTCAACCATAAATTTATAAGCTCCAAAGCCAATGGCCACATAATTATCGTCGTTGGTCACTACTATAATTGAATGCGGACTCTTTTGAATAAAGCCAACATACAAAAACTTATATCTGATCGCATTTTCAATGTCTACTGGCCAATTCACGTGCAAACAAACCCTTACAGTCCTATCACAGGTTTATTGTGAGTTATTGTTGTTGGATCACCAATCTCGAATAATATACCAAAATCCAATTCGAGCACTACAAATGTTCCCATGATAGTTTGATAAAGTTAGTTATCTTCGAGATTTAACTTTTTACAGTAAATTATCATTTAAAATTAAAATACAGTAAGCAGTATTTGAAGTTTGTTAGTTTTGAATCCTACATAATCCAACAAAGATTACATTAAATTAATTCATAATCTGAGAATAATACAGAAATTTAACACATAATTAAATAACTCTAAATATTTCGTACGTATATAATTATTATGATGGTATAAATCTATATATTATGTAGTATATATTAATTAATAGATTATGAAGCTTTTTAAACGTCATAATATAGAAGCCAGATATTACATAATTGGTCATCGCTTTTAGACTTTTTTAAATTGTTCTCATAAATGCATCGTAGGTTAAACTCAAAATGTAAATATAACTTACCGCGATAGTGAAAACTGAAAATATGTTTATACGAATGATTATTTACCATTCGTCAGAATTGTATTGTGCCATAAAAAATCTAATTAAACATAAATCAATTGTAAAATAGATGACAGGTGCATGCCATTTTAATGGAAGTAAATTTAAATAAAAATAAATGGAACAAAATAATAATACAAGTTAACTTTAGCTTGGACATGAAATACGGTTCACAAATCAAATATGACAACATCCCAACCTCAATTCAATAAATTATTCACAAAATACCTAAAAATCGTCTTAAATAAGACGTAAACCATGCAAGAAGATCAAAAGGCAAAAATAAAAATAATCACAACTCAATATTATACATCAAACGCTTGCACTCATCAAATCAAAAATATTATTATGCATAACAATAATTAAAAGACCAGTATTCAGAGTGCTGCAAATATGGGATGTAATCAAAGCAACAAAACCTATGCACCATGAAACATTAAAATCGATCTGTCTATGTCAGATAACTATATAGAACGACGTATGTTACAAATACTACATGCGATTCCACGCCCAATCAACTGCTAACAGAAATCCATTAGTTTCAGCAGAGTCCTCCAAAATCATCCCCTATAATCAAATGTGGTCCTCGAAAAAAACTAGCCTAGAGACCATCCAAATTTAAACCGAAATTATATGAACAACAAATAGTTTTTACGCATAGTTTTCGAACCGCGTAAAATATAATACTCTCATAATTTGAACTACATTATTTTCTTATTGTGATTGTAAAATTCGTTGAAATAAAAAGAAAATTCGAGCGAAGAATCACCGCGATAGTAATCGTTTCCGATGTGAGGATGTAGGTCCGCGTTTAAGATACATTTTTACAGAGTACTGGTAACACTAGTTAATAATATAATAATACTTGAGCATATCATTGTGTTTATAAAACATGGACATTTGTATATTTTATGCTTACCTATTGCACTCAATAATATCAACGCAGTGTTAAATTATCGCCAAGCTCGATGTAAATCAAAAAGTGCTCGATTTCATTAGATATTCAATTTTCAATATTAAGATTTTTATCAAAGCGTAATCAAATTATATTATAATGTTATGACAAATCATTCGACGTGTACATAATTCAATAATTGTGTGCCCGCTTAACTATAAAGTAAAATAGCTGATATGATACTGAAACGAATGTAGGTACTTATTACATTTTATTCGGATGGATTTGAAAGGAAATGTTCACATATTTTTACAACACCTGCTAAACAACTATATATTATAAATACTCATTGTATGCAACACGTAAAATCGTTAAAAACAACGTATAAATTCTACATCTGAATAAACATTGAACTACATATATTAATTTTTTTAAGTTTTTCCGTTAGCAAAATACTTCGAAGTAGAGTATTCCAAAATGTTAAGCTTTGCAGTATTTAGGTATTTGGATAAAATTCCTAATTTAATGCCCCGAGAATGTTTGCCCACAAGTGTGTTGTCCACGTCTCATAAAAACATGACTCGAGAACTTTGAGTCAATACTTCGAAAGAACCAATTTTGAATTGTTAGTTTTATGAAATTATTAGAATGAATTAACCGATTATCAGACATTAAGGGGGTCATTGTATCATGTGTTATGTAAGTTTGTAATTTACGATATTTCCATGCATGTCACGAGTAATATGTAAAAATGGTAACCAAAAAAAATTATGTAAAAAATTAAAATACCAATACCGTAAAAAAAGATTTCCCACAGACACAGTGGTAACGTTCTTATATATTTTAAGTCAGCCAGCTATTATGTTAACTCACACCGATATTAAAGCCAGCAACACAAAATCGGTTCCGCTCAACGCAAGTTTGCGATGTTGTACATTTATTGTGAGACACCCGCCGGTCTCTTAACCATAAATTATTGAAGTGTATTAACTATTAACAAAATAAAAATACAAAAAATATGAAAAACAAATAAGGTGGGTTAGATGACTACCTACATACTTGGTGATTTGAGAAAAATGTACCCAAAACAGTTTTATATATTATGTATAATGTATATGTTAAATTACATAGTTTTTCGAGACTTTTTTCTGATTAACTTTTCGTTTAAATTAAAAATGTAATCTATTAAAAGTAAAATGTAAACTCATCTCGTGACTTAAAAAATTCTAAAACAAACTTCATAGGATTGTAAATAATGGCAAAAAAATTATATCTATTTTTTTTTCCGTGACCATAGAATATCGTTGAGAAAATGTTTGTATAAATATACAGTGGAAATTCAAAGTTTTCGTCCATCGTTATTTTTCTTAAAAAAGAAAGATGAAGAAAAAAGTCCGTTGCGATTCTGCGAAATAATGTGAATTAAGGTTAATTAAAACACTTTTTCAGCGTTTGTTACATATCCCTGCCTACTTTATTATTACTATTAACAACTATGCGTAGTGTACAGAAGATTGTTAAAATATTATTATGGTAGGTAATTTATATGACTAAGATAAAAAATGTTATATTATTATTATTACTATTAATTTTTTATTGTTTATGGGGTCATTGCATATAAAGTATATCAACAAAAATGACTGTTTTTCTATCGAAACGGTGTATAAAAATCGTTTTCGGAATTAATAACAACAATTAGATCCACAATATCCTAAACTCCTAACCATAATATTACAATGTAATCCAGAATCAATATGTCAGTTCTTTTTTACGTCGGCACGTAGATTTGATTTCAGCAGTAATTTGCTGTTGCACTGAAGTTCGAGTGCATTACATGGAACTATTGAAAATAACACATCCCGCAAGCATTTAAAAAAAACGCCTGTTTCGGGTACTGTTTTAATAGTGATGCTGTTTTGATGTAACTTTTATTTGCATCTTATATAATACTGATTGAATTAAAATAATCGTCGCGTATAAGAGTTAAAACGATGGAGAGTCTTTAAAAGAACGGGAGAAATTAAATTTCATATTATGAAAAAAAAGTAGTACACGGCGTCACTTTCTAAAGTTGTCAACCAACTCGAAACGTTTATTTTTTAGAAACTAGAAAGAAGATAATCTCTTACACAGTAGTGGCTAAATGCTCGATTTTTAAACCGTTTCCACTAAACGTAAGTAATTTATCGAATTAAAGTTTAAACGTTTCGGGAATTCTGAACTTTGAACTTATCAATGTAACTAATGGAAATCAAAATTTTGCAGTGAACTAATCGTTCTAATGCATTACGTGAATAATTCTAACAATTTGATTCTACTAAATCACTCAGTCACCCACTTAAACAATTAACATGCTATATATTTCAGGGACGCTAAATTATAACCTTAAATTGTTAGGTATACCACGGCACGGTTATGCAGACTCGTGGATATTATGTATAATGTCACGAGAAACCAAATCCAACGCATGTTCCCCGTGATGTGATTGGTATTTATATTATTATATTGTATTATATCGAATACGCGACGGACAAATTATTAGACGACTATATTATTGTAATAATGACGATAGTAATAACAACAACAACAACAACAACAATAACAATAACGATGACAACAATAACAGTTGTAATGATAACGACGTCAATAACACCAATGACAATAATAACGGTAATATAGTAAATTATTATATAATATAATTATTATTATTATTATTATTATTGTTATTATATTAATAACCCCTCCGCCGCCGCCGGGGTCGTCGCGTTTATCGGCGACACGATATTGTACGGGCCGCGCGGCCGCGCGCAGATGACCCAGTCGGTACTAAATAATTTAGTTGGCGAGCTTAAGAAAACGACCACGCGATACATGTACACCCCGGATCCATTTGCAGATTACAACGATATAATATATATACACGTACGCACATATACGTATGTATAAGGGATGAATAACGAGGGAGTGTGTAATACGCCGTGTATATATATATATATATATATATNTATATATATATATTATATTACATGTACTATTGCGTATGTGCACAATATACGAGTACCTATAAACACACACACACACACACACACACACACACACACACACACATACATACATATCGTACATTACATAATATACGAAGCCGCGAAGGTATGTGTGTGTGTGTGTGTGTGTGTGTGTGTAGCACGAGCCGTAATAGTTTTAGCACAGCGTCTGGTCAATTTCGGTACCCGAAATATATTATAATAATAACTATTATTATTGTTATTATTATTATTATTTGCACCACGAAAACAGGGAGGGGGGATACCGTTCGCATAATGTACTCGTATATAATATAGTGATATTGTATTATACACGTGTCGTGTTATGATAGTCGACCGCCGTCGTGATACAACGAAACCTCCAAATACCGGACACACTCGGTCACTGAATTGTTGTCGGTTTCCGTTCTTAGGGTTCCGCTGTTCAGAGAGTCCAGATTGTAGAAAGTTTGAACGGTTGGCTTCCGAGAAAACGTCCACTATTGGGAGGTGTCCGTCAGAGGAGGCGTGATATAATATTATTATAAATTATTATTATTATGTGCTGTACACAATATTGACGTGATAATAATAATATTATTACTATCGCCAAGGCTCCGTGCCGTTTAACTATTAATACGTATTATAATTACTATCGTCATCATCGTAATCATCATTAAACCTATACCGACGCGCGGAAATCGCTTATTATAATAATATTATGACATCGAATAATAGATGTATGATAATATCGCCACAACGACCCTTATTTATAATATTGTTACGACATTGGAGCGCCGCCGCGAATCGTTTTCGCCGAACGACGATGTTATAATATTACACACGTGACGTGCGACGATATAATATCACGACATATGTACCCATTGTACCTACTACTTTGTATACGTCATATAAGTTTACACGGGATAAATCAATAATATTTTGTTTCGGGATACGAAGACGAGACATTTAAAACTTAGTGCATTTCTCAAAAATCGCATTGTTCTACAGTAAAAACTTTTCGAAATTTTCGCCACTCTCACTACGTCATATTATTAATTTTTTAGCCACAATACTACTGCTGTTTCTACTATAGAATGATATCCTAACCTAAAGATTTACATTATTATAATCTTTCAACTATTGTATCATTGTCTCATTGTAAGTAATATGGTAATAAAATATATACCTACGTAGTTGTTAGTATTTTATTGTAATTTAAAGGTAAATTACTTATTGGATAATGCGTAATAGAATTCGATGCTTTAAATATATTATGACCTTTCATTTTAGTACATTATTCTCAGTTAATATACATTACCATATTTAATTTTAATGATCAAATTTTTCAATTATCGATTATTTTTATTAGTTGGTAGTTTTACATTAAAAAAAAAAACTATTCTATAATAGAATTTATATAGAATCTATAGAAATATACCATGGTATAAACCACTCCATAAAAGCCTCTATTTTTGAATGCATCGATTTATCTTTGCATTCAAAATACCTATGTATGATGAAACTATCCAACACTCAGTGTTGAACAAAAAAATTCCACGACTAACCGATGATTGAAGTTTTTAAGGATTATAATATCTATAATTTATTATTTATAAATTTCAATAAATATATATTATGTTCAACCTACACAAGGGCATAAGTACATAAGTACATTCATTGAATATGTCAATACATATATAGGTCAACATAATATAATAACAATGTATATATATCTCACCTGGACAAAAAATAATACTAATAGGTATAATTTTAATGCCGAAGCATACCTAGTTAGATCAGTAATAAAGCTGTGGAGCAAAGGGAACTGTTTCGTTTAACCTCAATCCTCTCTTTATTTCAATATAAGGTTTCATAAATTAGTTTAGCTACTTTGAATTTTAATTACAAACAATTTCAAATCCGTGATTAAAAAATTATTTTTTAATCAACATTTTACAAATGTTATAATTTTGGTATATTTTAATTTAATTAAACACAATGGTATTCAGTGCCGATCTTATTATTGACCCATAAAAATGTTTGTATTTGTGGAACCATTCAAATAATATAAATATTTATATTGTATTTTCAAATATATTTTTTTTTTAAACACAGTATAGTCTTAAAAATTTAAATTAACAATTAATATATAAATTACCTTTGTTAATTAAATGAGTCAAAAATATAAAAAATATTTTTCCATATAACAAAATAAGTTACTATAATTTGGGTGAAGTGGGGGTAATTGTAAACCGAAAAAATAACAATTTATTTTTGTTGCAATGTTATTTGTTTTTTAGTTTTATAATACTTTCACATTTATTAACATGTTATCATCGAAAATTGATCAAAAAACAAAAACTGTTATAATTCCCTATTATATGTATTATGTACATAAAAAATTAATCAGTGTAATAAAATTGCCATGGTAAACTAAAAAAAAACAAACTTCAAGTCAGAGTACTGAAACATAAAAAAACATTTTGGATAAAACATTTTAATCGGTTTGATGAAATAGGTTACTGAAATAGTAACCTAGGATAGCAAGGCTTTCTCCCTTAGCTCAGTAGTTGAAAAAAAAATGTGTACATTTGCTTCAACACTCAATTTGGGTTTATTTTAAATTATTTGGCGGTATTTTTAAGTTGATAGGACAAAGTGGCCAACTTCTTGTATATTACAGCCATCACTCCTTTTAAGTTATAAAAAAAAAAATTACTAAGAAAAATACAATCAGATTTTATCGTGAATTTCACCTATTTTTTTCTGCCAAATAATGGACTTTTCCGATATTAACAAACCCAAAGTACCGTCTTGGTCCAATTATTTCCAATCGATTGAATTTGCTACATGAAAGACCAGAAACATATTTACCACCAAAAAAAAAAAAAAAAAATGATCGCCGACACACTATTGTTTGTTTTTTAACACGTCACTGTAAAACCAATATAGTCTTTCCTTTAGCTTTAAAAATATGGATGATAATATGTCCAAAGAATGAAATTACTCTATGCTCGAATTCCCGTTCATCTTAAGTGTTTAAAATAATCAGTATACTATAAATAAACAATAATACAAATCTAAGAGTGGATTAAATTACCACAGTTTTACGTGTAATGTTGAGCATTTTTTAGAATTGCAGGATCTATTGACTCGTTTTTTATGGATGCCAGATTAAGAAAATACACTTTTTATGAGGTATTATTGTATATAATATACCTATAATTTAGTTTTTCTCATTGTAACAACTAAAAACCGTTTATATACAAACTACTTACATTTATTTATTACGATAATTCATTACATTTGATATTCAGTGAATGTTATGATATTAATCTATAACATATTACACAATCCAATACCATATAACATAATATTCTAGTGATTATAACGGAAAACAGTATTTATCCGTATCAATTGAAAGTTTTAAACGGTCGTTTTCATCGCTGTATTTTTACGCACCTATAAAATTATAATAATATAATACTAAAATAACTTTTTTTTGAATGAAATACGAAAATAAAAATGCGCAGTAACAACATGGGTGATACAACAAACAAAATGTTATTAAAATTATTAAAAATGTCATTAAATTATTAACGTGTAAGCCAACAAGAAAAAAATATATGTAAATATATAATATTAATACACCGTAACATATTATAGGTACATACGTGTTGTTTGTTGGACGTTTCGGAAAAAAAATAATGTTCTTTTTATAATGAATTTCACTACTGCGCGGAAAAAATATGCATATACCGTTGTAGTAATGAAACGTTCAAAATAATATTATATGCACATTATTATCGCGCATACCTATATTTACAAGTGGATTTTTCCACGTCGACATTAATGTCAACGGTTGGCCGATTTTTAATTCGCGCAAGAATTTAACAAAAAAAAAAAAAAATGTTGTATCGGACAAAACAAAATTAAAACGCGTAATGACAAAACACGAAGGATGAGGGTAAAAAAAGGGCAACGAATTTGAGCTGGTAGTAAATGAAAATAGCAAACTCTTTCACCTGTTCACAGTTGGATGTGAAGAGAAAAACCAACAACCGCTGTGGGATTCACGCAGAAAATATTATCAGTAATCACAATATTTAGTATTTTATTTTTTGCTGTTCGATCGCCGCGTGCGCGACACGATATAAATAGTAAAACAAAATTGCGTATCAATCAAATCCGGCTCGGGGGACACCGCACTATCCACTGTCGGGCCTGCGATTATAATTATTGCGAATTATTCCGTTAAATTTTGATTTTCCGTAGTCCAAACTATATCGAGTTGTCGCGGCGACGGAGCGGTACGGATCGCGAGACGACTTCGGACGAGGCGCGGAGACCGGAGGACACGCTCGTCGATAGACAATGTCGCGCGTTGTCTGCCGACCACCGACTGGACCGCCAAAGAAGCGGGCGCCTGTAGTACGCGCCGCCGATCCCGCCGGCCGCCGGCACACACGGCACGGTGGTATCACAGCGCCGCCACCGTTGCCACCCCCGAATTTTCCGCGGCTGCCAGCGGGGAGGCGAAAACTGGAAAAGGCACGTTTCGGCACCCCGGTTTTTGACGACGACCGCGACAATATAACGTCGTAGCAATAACCTACCCAAACCCCGGTAACATTAACCGATATTTCCCATACCATATTCGCGCTGCAGCGTTCGATTTCGACTCCGTCTTGTAGACCGCCGTGATTTCGTGTTGGAAACTCGACGCCACCCTCCTTACCATGGACAACACCTAAAATGAAGGTCTGGCTTATTTTTTTCCGGTGAATCGTTCAATTGTTGGTCAATCGTTGTTACGCATATTGTGATAGTGTGATACACTCGAAACCACCTCACACAGACATCATTCAAGTCCAGCCATAGGTACTATTGTTGTGTATTGTAAACTTCAGTATTAAGGAGTAAAAAAAATGAATTTACATACAAAGACCTTACCAGTTAAAGTCTAAAAAGTATAATTATTTTTTCGATATGATTTTCTGCAGAAATGATCCCGGTATAAGGAGTAATCGTGGAAAAAAATACCAGTGTATATGTATATAGCAAACGCCTTATTGTCTTTACTATTGCAAAATCGTTTCCGAACGACGGTAAAATCATTTACTCTCTCGACTAAGCGTTTGATGTATATTACCTACATCTACTATATGACTAAACATGGACTTTTAGACTGTTTGATTTGTCATGCTTCAAACACAGTCACCTAAATTGTCGAAGCACGAATCCGCGAGAACGAATTTATCGTGAAATTTACGCTTAGGTACCTCTACCTACCTACACTACTTCAAGCAAAAGTACAAGCGTAATAATATAGGGTTTCAAATGAGAGACTTCAATCTGATAGAGTATCATAAAATTGCACGTAAACAATTACCCATCGTATTTACACCTATAAGTACTACTGTTCCATAATAATTGTATTTTCTATGCTACTTAAATAGTGTGTAGGTACATTCTATTATCATCGTTTCTCTTCGAATATTATTGTTGAGAGATATTTTGAAATTGCCGGGGCCCAAACCTGTACATTTCCTATTTGTGCAGCCTATGCAAACCGGCAACCGCATGTTATCTAGACAAGAATTTTACGGTTCTCGTCATAGTCGGCATTGAACAAATAAAATAAGTTACGACGACCGGTAGATTTGAGATTTGCATCACATTTTCAGATGTCTCATCACGTGATAACGCAACCCGTTACCGTATAGTGTTCAGGTTTTACAGTATATTATTTTATATTTTTATTATTATTACATTTCTAACGATATTGCAGGATAAAATATTCGGTGCACCATAACTGCATCGTGGCCATTTTTAAATATTGTACTCAGTGTGGTGTTACATTTCATTGGCGCCCCTATTAAACATACATATTTAAACATTGTCCACCATAGGGCACTTCGCTCATCTGCCACCCCCTTGGCACGGCTCCGATTATACTATTGTCACAATTACATATTTTTAAACCCTACGTACAACTGCTCTGTGACAGTAGTAAATCAAAAACTCGTACTTATAAACGTTTAAATATTAATATGATGGTTTTTCAAAAATGAACATCACGGTTTTTGATAACCCGAAATAAAACCGACAACAGAGTCGGGACTCCAAAACGGGCCAAGATAATAATATCACCGCTTGTAACGCTTGTACGCCGCTTTACTGCGGTGCGATTTATAACCACTTACTCTGAAGAGTGGCATCACGGACACGGAAAACCCAACAATAACGGCGTGTGCGTGGGCGGCCCGGTTTGGGATAAATCGACGTAACGGAGACGCCTCTGTCACGTCACCGCCAGTGTTGGATTTATTTACATTGTCCGACATTGGCCATAAATAGTTTCTGCGCAAGATAATTATTTTGACAGTGTCGAAAATATATACGATATCCCGAAAACAAACTCTGCAACGCCGAATATGTGTCATACTATGAAAGTGTATCGATATAATTATCGATGTAACAGAATACAACCTGACGGATGTAATCACTTTTTTTCTAGGTAAGTAGGTAATCAATTTAAAAAAAAAAATGTTCGTATAGTATATGATTTATAATAGACACTCACGAGTAGGCAAAAACAGGAAAAGTTCAAAATAGCCAATTTCTTAACCTAATTTAGAAGAAATTTTCACCAATTTTAGAAAAATATTGTTGGTGAAAACGTTTATTTGAGTACCTAATCAATGTAGTTTTAGTCCGGTGTTCCCATAATACACCATTGTAGTTTACCGATATTTTGATTACTAGCGATCGTACCTATGTAAGAGCTTATTATATTAATACTGCCGTAGTGAAGAGGTTTGGTTTTTTTAGTATAAATTAAGGTACACAACGGTGTCACAACATCATCGTCACATAACAATTACACACAAGACATTATGGGCATATCACACTGATAGGCAACTCTCTGGCTTTTTTCTGCCCAAATACATCTACAAGTATGAAATACAATAACACCAAAATGAAAACGGCTAAACTGACGACGTCACTGAAACCGTGATCATAGAAATAAATGAAAATGATTTCCATGTACACTCAGACTTTGGAAAGTTCATTTTAAATATTAATTAGTTTATGAGCATATAATATCGATGCAAGTTCATTTCTCTACATTAAATAGTTTTTAGCCATTATGAGTCGTATGTAGGTTATACTATCTAGTTATTAATGAAAATATATCTTAAATAATTTTAATTTAAAGTTAATGCTAGTAGAGTAATAACGAATAAACACCCCTAGAGTTAAATGTTCAACTCATTTAATTATTATAATCAAACCAACAAATGTTCATATCTTACTTTTTTTCCTTTATCTACCTTTTGCAGAACATGTGGTGAATCAATAAACTTTTTTTTTTCATAGTATTCTATTGATTAATATTATATACATATTATACTTATATACCAAAATAATAAATAAACAAAATCAAATTAATAGTACCTTCTTATTTGTTATAAGTTTTTCTAATTCATAGAAGCTCTTATATTCCCATTTAAATTTATGAAGTTTAAAGAAAAATCAACTTCCAATGTAAAGTTGAAACTTGTACAAATATGAACAAAATTCAAAATAAGTTAAATCGTGAACTTTATATAATTTCAAATTTTATTTTTATTGATCTTATACTAAACATCAGCAGCGGCAATAAGTTATTATATTAATTACAATTTTTTTTATGGATATTGGTAATTATGTAATCTAAATAAAACCGTGCAATTTAGATTTTCTTATAAAAATATTAAAACTTAAATGAAGTTTATAATTTTAAACTAAGGTTCATACATATCTCATTTATGCCGAGGTATATTTTTCACTTTAAAAATATTATACAAAAATAAATAAAAATTATGAAGATTTTACTCATTTTATTATCATATAATCTTACGATAGACATTTTTAACAAGATGTAACATTTCTTTTGCTTTATCATTCTAAATTGACAAAATGAAGCAATTTATATACTTAATAGTTATTAATTAAATATATAATATCATCGTTTTGATTGAGATAATTAAAATCCAGCAATTAATAATTTTATAAATTGTTCATGCTTATCACGTGCTAAGAGTTGGTGTAAAAAATTTCGAATTATTCAAATGAATGGCATTAAAGAGCACCGTAGGAAAATTGGTTTCTTCGGAATCTAGGAATATCGGTATAGGATACTGTAAATGGTCTTTCAAATTCATTCTAAAACCACATTCTAAACACGTGGTTATAGAGTTTTAAAAAAATGCTATCTACTCTGGAAAATTGGGGAAACGATTGTCATTCGTGTACACGGTTGATTTTCTTTAGAAAATAACATCATCAGATACTTCTCAACTGTTGGGTTGTTTATATTCTGAGTATTTGTTGTTCCACTCCAATACTAGTACCCAATACCAATGTTTTTTTTTTTTATTATTATTAATACATCAAACCTCACATCCAAAAAAAATTCAATTTCAGAGTGCATCTATTTTCTTTTATTATAACTCGATACATATATTTTACATTACAATAACATGATGTTATAGCCGAATATGATGATTCGTTTAAAAGTAAGCACGCAGTACCTCGAAAAGTATTAACCTTTTGAAAAATATTTTAAAGTCATTACAATACAACATACTTATTTTATTCTAATGAATTGTAAAATTATTATCGTTTCTTATATAATTTTTTGAATGACGACACATATTCTTGGTGTAATATTCCTAGTATTGTTATGTACTAAAATCAAGTTGTAGAAGAGTAGTTAATTTGTTATAAATAAGTGTTTACATTTTAGATGAGTGGTCCATCATTTTACGGGTACCCAGTAACAGTCCTCCCCACACATATCTAAACTTCAAATATTTTGTTACTTTAACTATAATTAACAACTCGTCCAAACCGATTTTTATTCATAAAAAAAAGTCAAAAAAGTACTTATGCTTTGGAATATGAAATAAAAATAAAAAATAGTCAAAATGTTTTTTAACGACTTATGCACGCGAATTATGCGAAAAGAAAAATTTTTCCAAAATCATTATTGCGTTTTGATAATATAATAAACCTTACTTTTGAAATAATCACTCGGTGTGTAAAATATGTATAATATTTATATTTTATTATTAAGTATTATTGTAACAGCATTAAATTTTCTAAGTATACGTTTCTCGGGACTCATCCCCCCCCCCCATTTTCACAATTATTTACTATAAAAATAAAAAGACGTAGGTAGGTGGAATTTGTATAAACTTATTTAACCATTGTTTTCCACGAGTTATTAATACATAAATAACTATGTACGTATTTTATAATGTAACAACCAGTATCAGGAGTGTGTGTTTTAAATCAGTATTTGTGATCTGAACACGCATTGTGATTTCAGTTATTTCAAATATTTAAT